CTAAATGGAAAATGTCAACATCTTAAATACTACGGGGAATAGAAGAATTACATCTCAACTATGAAAATGACTCATGTATAAACTTTTGAAAAGTTTTAAAAGAAAAAGTGCATAAGAGCACAAAAGTTTGAATGAGGCGAAGTGTTTGAAAATATAAGAAGGGGAGGAGATGAAGTGACTATTATAACACCATTCTAAACCCCACAAATTAAATATAAATAATCGGAGTAATTATCATGCATCTCACAAAAGGGTGTCACGTAAAGTTTCAAAATATTACACAAACACCTGTCATGCTCATAACACTTAAAATAAATTCATGCTTTATATACTTTCACATTATCATGTAGCAGCGAGTTTACTTCAATCACAAATTAACATAACGAAAGTCTCATACGCATCTCATTCATAATCAATACTTAGGCATAAAGTCTATACTTCACATAATTCAAATAAACATAAAAACATAAAGTAGAGTACATAATGTATCTCTCAAACATAAACCAAAATATTCCAGTGTTACATGATCAGAGCACGACTCATCCCAAAATAAATAAAGAACTAAACAAGTTACTCCAATGGATACCTCACGCTAGAAGCAACTTTACTCCCGGTACCTGAGCGATGTCGTATAAAACATCATTCCAACAAAAGGGTGAGAATTCACATAATTATTGAAATCATAAGATAATAATTAATTTTAAGACATACAAGTATAATCACAAATCATTCTCACACTTCAAAGTTTCATCAACAAAGTATCATTCAAGTAACCATACCACTCACAAGTATATACACATAATCCACAATTTTACTAATTCAACAATTCACATAGATACACAAAATCTCATATCACAAACATATACACAATGAGACTCAATGAAAAACTCAATGCAACTCATGCCATGTGGTACCAATACTTGTTATTATTTTTTTATTTTTACATTTGAACTAGGTCTGTTCCCTAGACTAATAACACACAATAGCCCATTCCCTAAGCTTTCAAACCCCGTTCTATGTTTGGGACAAGTCACTAGCTCCCACAGAACTAACAAGCATTGCCTCTTGACACAAATGATGTGTGTTCAATTTCAATAACCATATGAAATTAAGATCATTCCCTAATATTAACATTCATGCATATCTTCAATAATTCATCACACTTGAATTACCATACAATTACACATACTTGCACATTTTTATGAATCATCCACACACAATTAACTTTCAATTGGTATACAACACATTTTACAATACAATCACAACTGTATTATCATTACAACAAGCAATAACTATCATGTATTTCATTTTGTCACACCCAAAATATATTTATAAAATCACACACATAAGTATTCGATAAATTATCCACAATAATTTTACAACCGGCAGCAAACAATGCAACAATTCATTAATAGAACATATACACAATTGACTTCCCAAGCATATTAGATATAAAAAATTGGGCAACCAATTCTCTTATCTATATATGATATAGCTCTATTCATTAGCTTTCCAACTCTTTGAACGGGGACCAAAACGGACTTACGGATCAAAAGTTACGTTCATTCTGCCATCCCTCGCTACTGCTCACGTCGCAACTTTCGCTATGCGAAATACAGCTCGCATCGCGACATCCTCTATGTGAAATACAACTTGCATCACGACTCATTACATAATGTAAACCATGGACTTTCACTACTATTTCGCTATGCGAACTCTTATAGACAATGAACCAGAAAAGTGCAATTTTTGAAGTTTGTAGGCCTTCCGGACCTCCGAATTCGATTCTGTAAAACGTTCTAGTTCTAGAATTTGAAATACTATCATTATATGACAATTATAATAGCCTAAAACACATATTTAAGGATCCTACCATCATACATCATGTAATCATCAATTTCAAAATCATGAAAATTATGGATTTTTATCATAAATGTGATACTACCCATCATACACTATCATACAATCTCATAATCATGTAAAGACCCACCCTTACCTTGATTTTTGAGTTCTTGAATTTGGATTCCTCTTCTCCACTCCTCTTTCCCTCTTGCCTCTTTTTCTCTTTACCAACTTTCTAATCCTATTGTTTTGTTAACCCCTAACATTGTCTTAATCAATTGGGCTTAACTCAACTCACTCCCACTTACTATTCACACACCTAATTAAGTCCAACTAAATAATCTAACAATTCTACATTATTCTACCAAATAAATTAATTAATTAATTTAATTAATTCAATAAATCACATATTTAGACTAAATCAATTAAATTTTATAAATTAAATAAGTCAATTAATTTATATAAATCTAATAATTGATATAAATCAAATAATTCATATAAATTCAATAAATCAAATAATTCATTTAAATCAAATAATTCAAATAAATCGAATAAATCACATAAATTAATTAATTCAAATAAATCACATAATTCAATTAAATCCATTAAATCAAATAGGCACAAAATTACACAATTAATCAATTAATTTAATAAATAAATAATTACTAAAAATTGGGGTGTTACCACTATCCTAAAGCATAAAGTAAAAAGTTAAAGATAAGAAAGATCTAACCGAACTGTAAGCACACCTCATAGCAAGCGAAATAAGAATTTCATCCGTCTTGAAGCATAAACAAATGAGCAACCAAATAAAGGAAAAGATCCATAATACTCCAAGCATATGGAAATAGTCTTAATTCTAAGTCCAAAGGTCTAAGAATAATCCAATAGGTCCAAGGTCATAAGCATAACCACAAAATTAAGAGCACCAAGTTTTTTTGAGGTTTAATCATTTACTAGTGTTTTGAACAAAATATTGTTCAAGTGGACAAAAGAAAAAAAGAGCGGAAGCATAAACAATAATATGATATGAGATGATAATAATGGAGCATAAAAATAAAAGAGAGATAGGGAGCGAGAAGGAATAATAAACAAAATTAGTACAATAATATTGTTCGTGAGTTAGTGATTAGTTGTTAGAACAAATGATCAACGATGGTTAAATAATGAACTTAGAAAAAAGTTAATGAAGACTCATTAGAGGATTGATAAAATCAAAGTCTCCTAATAACATGTTTCATAAGTAATGGATCCTAGACAAATAATCAACCATACTTGGACTTTAAATATAAGTTTGAGCCACGAATGATCATTTTCCGATACAGGACACATGTAGTGCTATGTTAAGTAACCGTAATCGGATATATGTAGAAGCCACGACTATTTGAGGCCGGTCAATAACAATGTTCGTGTTAATACAAGTTAGAGAAATGACATGTAGGTCATTCTCCTAAAACGTGCCACAAAAATAAAAGAGGTAGCAATCTTATCTTAATTAAGATTTTTTTATCGATTAATCAAAGGTAATCTATCACTATTCCAAAGCACAAAGAATTATCCCAATGATCATTCGTCCGTAGATTTGAAATAATGAAGATTAAACATCCTTGACAACCAACAACCCATGATCCATAGATTTCATCGACCAAAAGAAAAAGAAGAAGAAGAAAGAGGACCAAAAGGAATCTTAATTCGATTAAATCGTCATTAATATCAATCACCTCTCTTGGTGAATTTGGGATTTCTCCTATCGACACCCATGGTCCATTGAGATTAACAAGATCATGTTTAAAATTTAAGATCCAACCAACAACCAACAATATAAAAAATCACAAGAAATATAAAATCAAGAACTATGACAAAAAAATTTAATGATTTTTTCAAGAATGTTTTTTTTAAAAGAAAAATCTCAACAAAAAAAAACAAAGACTAAAAGATCCAAAAGAAATGAATCAAGAAAACTATTAATAAAATTTTAAAGAAGAAATAATAAAAAAATGAACTAGCTAATTAAATTTTTAAGGAAAAACAATGAAATGGTGGGAAATTAAACTGAAAAAGGAATGTGAGGATAGTAGTTCAAAGAATTACACGGCTCGACCAACAAATCTCATTATGATAGCATAAAAAAAATTAGAGTCAAAGAAAAGGACCAAAGCATATTCATCTTCTTCATCAAAAAGAGCTCACGGCCGCTGCTACTGCTCTTACATCGCGCCGGCAATTTTTCGCCACATCTCCCCTTCTCTCGTTCAAAATTCCTTCGGCACTGTGCTTCTCTTTCCTCTATTGTCTTGCTTTCTCAAAACTTTAAAGAATTATCAATAATCTACAAATCAAAGCGGATCGCGAAAAACGAATTCAAATGACGAAGATTAAAGCTACCTCTAAATTGATGATGATAACTCAACGATCACTTTAGGTAAAATCTGTTTTTATCTTCTTCATCATCATGCTGCTACTGTTCGAGGAAACACAAATTTCTCCTCTTCTACACGCGGTGGCTGATCTCTCTCTTTCTCGAAATTTCATCATTGTGTAACACCTCAATTGCTTCTCCGTGCATCTCTTTTTCTCGTCACCATGCTTCTCTTTTCCTTCTCAAGAACGCGTCGCCGGCAGCATCAGCAAGGAGAGCTTTCAAAAAATTTCGTTCCGCCTTAAAATCACAAAGAACACAATATTTCCTTAGATCCAATAGATATTCAGGTATGATCTCTGATTCTTTCATTCTTTGTGATTTAAATCCGTTCTTGTTGCTGAAATCGTTACGAAGATGTTGATGTTGCGTGGATGTTGCTCGGTTGTTCGCGAACTGAATATTGTGTTTTGTGAATTTATTGTTGTTGAGTTGATGTTGTACAAATTTAATAGAATTATGTTTGTGGATGTTGCTCGGTTGTTCGCGAACTGAATATTGTGTTTTATGAATTTATTGTTGTTGAGTTGATGTTGTGAAATTGATGTTGTACAAATTTAATAGAATTATGTTTGTGGAATTGAATCAATAAAGGTTGAAAGTTGAGTGATTGAAGATTGTTTATGGTGTTTGAAGCTTTTATGTGTAATTTTCTACAGGTCTTTTGAAGGTTTGAAGAAGTGAATGTTTAATGGAAGAATTGTGATGAAGAATTAAATTTGTGATTGAAGCTTGGAGAATGAATTTTAAAGAATATATGTGGCTTTTCAAGCTTGAATTTGAAGGTAAGGAGGGCTGCTACTTATAGAAGAATATGGAGTGAATTTTGATTTTGATTTTGAATTTGAGAGTTTGTTACAATTTTGAAGCTGCTGCCGTTTTGCCTTGCGTAGCCGCGTTTTAGTTATGTGATGCTCATGTTTTGTTGGTTTGGTTGTAGCATATGTATGTACCACGTTCTTCTGCGTTTTGCTATTCATAGCCGCTTGGCTTGGAGTAAAGCATGAGGTGGCTTGTAGCTGGCATTTGGGAGCTCAAAACGTTGTGAGGCACGACTGGAAAGATGTTCACACGACATGCTTTTCAAACGGCCCCAATTGTGATTGAACCAATGTACACGACACTCCCCAAGCTGAAATGCATCCATTATGTTTTTTCTATAATTTCTAAATGTAATTTAATTTTAATGGGATCTTTGAGGAATGATTCATGTAATCATCATTTATTTTATGACATCATCACTTGGCTTAAACAAATGCTTGCCACCATTACCCTATGTGAAAAATTCTTGAGATTTAGACACTGCACGTGTATGGAATTCTCGGTATGCAACAATATCCAAACTAACACTGATCGATCACCATTTTTACTATGTTTCCATCACTTGTTAGGCATTAATTCATGTAATCGGCAATACTTTCTTTTGTCTTTTTACTGCTTTTCAAGTTAAGTTTACTTTTCGCAAAGTTATTTTCACATTTCAGTATTTTAAGTTTATTTAAATTATTCTGCATTTTACGCTTTGGTTTGTTGGTTTTGAGTGTTTCCAAGTTCAGGTAATCAGACCCAAAAGACTTAGCGAAAGAAAATGAAAATCTGGGATTCCGAAATTCAAATTTTGGAGTTACAAGAGGCCTGACACGGTCGTCCGTGTCATTTTACATGGGTCGTGTCAGAAGGAGGAGCCTTGTCAAGAAAAAGAAGAAGAATGTGCACATCTAGGGGGATGACTGTAGCACCCCAAAATTTGCCTTTTCGTTTTGGCAACATCTAACTTTTGTTTCTTTGCATTTTCGCATTTATGCATTTGCATAACATTCTTCCTTGAGACAGGGGATCAAGGTTTTCTCGTGACTAAGTTTTCATCTCAGTGCATGAACCTGAACAGCGAGCATCAGAGGCTCTGGCATTTATTTTACCCAGTGGTCGGGAGACCGATTTTATTTTATTTTTGCAGGATATTTTCAGCTTGGAGAGCAGCATTCATGCTATCATAAACATTTTCATGGTTATGACATTCAAAAGCAAGTTTCAGAAGTTGAACAGAGCTCAAAATAGTTAGAAACGGACAAACGGACAGATTTCCCTCCAAAAGGCGCCAGAATTCAAATTTTGAAGGTGTTAATCGATTAACACATATGGTTAATCGATTAACCAAGTCAAAATCAGGTCAAATCTGAAGTTTTGAAGGTGTTAACCGATTAACCTATATGGTTAATCGATTAACCAGTGCAGATTTTGCCTCTGCACGTGAATTTTCAGTACAAGTAATTTTGGGGTCCAATTTTGGTCATGTGCAAATTTGATTTTCACTTTGGGAAGGATCTAAAACCTATTTGAAATTTGGTTAATTTCATTTTTCCTCCAAATGCCCATTCCTCATTCCAAACCAAATTTTCCACACCACACTCCAAACCTTTCATTTGGATACAAGCCTAAGGGATATTTAAGTGATCCACTCCAAACCAAAGGGAGGAATCACTCATAATTCACTCTCATTTTTCAGAATTGATCTCATTTCTCTCTCAATTTTCCAATCTCCAAAACCATTACCAAAGCTCTTCTCATTGAGATCATTGATTCTTCATTGAAATCCTTGATTTCTAAGAGCTAAACCTCCATCCCTTCTCTCCATTGAATCAATTTCTTCATCCAATTTTCGTGCAAAATTGGATCTGAACTTGGAAGTGATTTTAGAAGTGATTATTTGGAGCAATTTGGTTTAATCTTGAAGGATCTTCATTGCTACTACAAGAATTGGTGTGGATCGTGAAGTCTTTCGGACTTCTAGCATTGGATCTTTTCAATTACAGTTGAAAAAACACTAACTGAAGCAAATCTCCGCTTTGAAGGTTGGGAGTTCTTGATCCGAATATGTTTTTAGCTTATTTGCATAATCATGTGGATTTTCATATTTGATTAACTTTTGGTTAATTTGATCCGTTTGATTCATGATTTGGTTGTGTTAATCTGTTCATATTCTATTTGAATCATGATTTGCTGGTTTAATTTCGTGATTAAGTGATTATGCGATCATCCGGTTGATCGGATAAGTGCTTATTTGCTGAACATGCTGTTCTGTTGCTGTTTTTCTGCTGTTGGCACAGTGTTAATCGGTTAACACATATGGTTAACCGATTAACCATTTCAAATATTCAAAATTTTCAAAATTTTCAAAGTGTTAATCAGTTAACGCCTGGTGTTAATCGATTAACATGTACAAATTTCCAGACTTTCAAGCATTTTTAAGTGGTTAATCGGTTAACCTCTGGCGTTAACCGATTAACGCTGTGCCAGTGGGTCTGTTTTGTTGATTTTCTTGCTTATTTGAGTACCGTTTCGCATCAAATCATCGTAGTTCAATACGATGCATTAGAAGTGAAATGTTTTGGGATATATGTCGCTGTTTTGGTTGTTTAATCGAGATTTCGTCGACTTGTTTTTGTTTTCCACTTGGATGCACACTTATGTGTTGTTATTCGTAGTGATGATGTTCTTGCATTTCCTCTTGTGCTTGCATCTTTATTTCTTGCATTAATAAAGGTCGAGATGTGCTTGTGGTGGTGTTTACCCCACACTTTGTTCCTCCCTTTGCTTGTGTGTTGCATTCCATGTTTGCATCTCTATTTTCACTCTCATTGGTGTTTGGTCTTTCTTCTTCCTTTGTCTTTCTTTGCCATGCTCCCCATAGGATCTCTAATCTCTTTTGAGGTTATGATAGACATTAGGACTTAAACCAAGCATGCTAACATTAGGGTAGATGTTTCCCCTCTTTTAGTCTTAACCTTAGGACCATTTTGCATGACAACGTTAGGGCCGAGTTTCCTTTAGACCTTCTGTGCGTCTTCTTCTTCTCCCCTTCAAACAATTTCAAAGCATTCAATAAAGGATAATGAATGTTATACGCTACGAGCCTTAAGCTACTTGGGAAATGACGATTGGGGGGCTTCCTCTCAATGGCCTAGAGTGTTTAGTGTACACCCTTTGGGTGATATGCGACGCATTCGCTCCTAGGCCATAGTCTTTAGTGCAATATGAATTACAAACAAATCAATGCACTTCTTCTTAAAAAACATAAAAAAACAAATTCAAACCTTTTTCATCCTTTGGGATCGTAATAATGGAAAACCTTTTTCATAAAAAAGAGTATTGTTAAGCTTTGGTTCTACCGCAAACAGGCATTGTCCCTAACTGCTAGAACGAAGGTTTAACCTACTTGGGTAAAACATTTTGAACCAACCGGTGTTCTCGTTAGCCCGAACTATGTTTGCTCTGATTTCTCATACCAGATGAGAATACGTAGGCACAAGACGTGATGTCTTGGTGAGCAACCTTTCCCCCCCTTCGCCCGTAGTTAGCCGAACTACGTTGACTCTGACTTTCCCATTGCATGAGGGAATACGTAGGCACAGAGCGGCGATGCTCTACCGAGTCTCTTTTCGTTTCTTTTTTGTCCTGTGAGCCTGTAGCGTAGATAGTTTAAACACACCATTAGATAAACAACAAGCATGGATCTCGTCGAGTACGGCGGAAGTGAGGGGTGCTTATACCTTCCCCATGCGTAACCGACTCCCGAATCTAGGACTTGGTTGCGATGACCTTGTCTTTTCCCTTTTCCATTAGGTTTTTCCGATCATTTCCTTTCCCTTTCTTTGGGATAAATAACGAAAGATGGCGACTCTTCTGTTTTCCGCCGGGTGTTTTTCGCAGTTGCGACAATGACACTGTCGCCCGTGTCAGCATGTCTGTGTAGAAGCAAGCATACTTCAATCTCAACGTTTTGATGATGTCAACTCAACTCAAGCTCACTTCATGATTGCAAAAAGTCAAGGCTTTCAAATTGATCAAGTCTATGCAATTATAACTTATAAGTCAAGCTGATGTGTAAATTATTCTTCATCTGTCAAGACTTGGACACAAGGCTGGTATATCAAAATTCCCTCTTTAATTTGATATACAAGTGTTCAAACAATCCATAGTTTTTGCATATTGCATTGGCATGTTTTTAAACTCGTTAGAATTGATATAACACTTAAAACATAAATATTTTTTCTAAGTTTTTACAGTGTTAACCGATTAACCATATGGGTTAATCGGTTAACGCCCTTAAAATTTGAATTTTTTGAGCTAACGTTATAATGTTAACCGATTAACCTATATGGTTAACCGATTAACAATGAACGTATTTTGAAAAATTGCTTCCTTTCAAGTTCAAATTTTGTTTGAATGTTATACCTTTCCATCTTTTTATTAATACTCAATTATACCTTTTTGAAATGGTGTTTTGGCTCATATAAATTCTGATTATTTCAGAATTGAAAAACACCTCCAATAATTTTCAAAATATTCATTGAATCAAATTCACTCAAATTCAAATATTTTCAAATTTTCTCAAAGTGTTCATATTGTTCATATATTTCATATCCATAGCATTTAACACTTGTATTGATGCTAAAGAGTGAATTCTGATCAAAAGGAGAAAATCAATCTATGTATTGATATCATTGCTATTACTCTCAAATCAATTCATTCAAATTACTTGTATTGCGACTTTTGATCCAGGATTGTTGGACACAAGGGTTAGTGCTTGCAAGAGGATTGTTCTTGCACACTAAGTTGCTGTATAGTTGTTAGAAAGTAGGCCTCACCGGTTAATGGTGTGATAGGTTGTACAATTCTAAAACTATAGTAAATTCTCTTTCGTGTTGAAAGGGGAGTGGAGTACTCTCGGATTGTGAGGGGAACCACTATAATTCTCTGTGTTCTTTCCTTTTCTGCTTTACCGCTTTCATCACAAACATTCTTAAAGAAGTAAAATTCAAGAATACCGAAAAACCGGAAAAAGTACCTAAAGCCTAATTCACCCCCCATCTTAGGCATACTCTGTACTTACATTTGGCATCAGAGCAGGTTAAGGTAACCTGTTCCTAACGATTAAGTATGGCTTCCGCTAGTACCAACCTGGTTTTCAAAGATGGTGGAAGTAGTAACAAACCACCACTCTTTTCTGGAGAATATTTCGATTTTTGGAAAATCCGTATGAAAGCACATCTTGAGGCTCAAGGAGACGGTATATGGGAAACCGTAGAAACTGGTCCACATGTTCC